AGACTACCAATTTGACGTCAGTGTGTGAGATGGTACCACGTGACACCTTCAACACACCTTGGAGTTGTAACACGAAAAACTCGAGACTAAGGGCCCTGGGAGAAGACTACAACAGAATATTTACACTGACTCGGAAAAGGACTTCTCCTTGACCTCCATATTCCCATCTCTACCGGAAAGCGAAAATGAGAGTGATGACACTGAGCCGGAAAGCGAACTCTCCGAACATGATGAAAAACGAAACCTTATCCTTCCTTATGCTCTTCGAAGTCAAGGGACAGTTGTAGATCGACCTTGGGTTATGTCTCGACCCACACGAAGCCGTATACCCCGATTTAATTCTCCCGCCACTAGTCGATCATCTTCTCCTTTGGTTCGGAAATATTAAATGGTGAAATATTAATAGGGCAACCACTTTTCCTTTTAGTATGTTGAGCAATCAAATCTATGTTAATTAATTTTATTTCCTAATAAATATTCGTATTATTAGAATCAAATACTACGTGTCTTCCCTCTACACACCTCATAACAACAATATCATGCGCAATGCGTCATTTATAATTATCATAATTTATTTCCTTAACCTCTTTTTATCATAATCAAAGGAGGGACCATGAAAATTTAATAAGAATATTTCCTTATTCTAGTGGAAGAAGTTTTCCTTACGTAAAAGTGGACCTTAACCACATTGACATAGTGCAAAAACGACGAAGTCATCCACAAAGTCAGATTGAGTTATCTCGAAATCACCTTCCTTATCCTTAACATCGGATGTACAACAATGGACCTGTATCAAGCCCTGTGGAGTTTACAAAAGGAGTACTTTTCATTCACCAAGGAAATTTTTTGATGACCACAAGTCACTGGACCTTGGACACTGAACTCAATTTTGAACATGTGGAACGACAGATTCAATTCGTCTCACAATCTTTATTCTATTTAGGTGCCATGATACAACGAGAACACACGACTCTGAAAGATGGAAACTGCTCCAACCCAATGGAATCTCCCTACAAAAGGTTTTGAACTAATTCAAACTTCATTTCTCAATTATCACAAACAATATAAAGAACTTATTTTTTTTCTAGTGCTAAGAAAGAGAGAAAACAAAAGAGAAAAAGTTCGTTTTGGACCATTCTCTATGTAAACATACCTCTACTCAGACAGAACACCCAAAACGTTTAAAATCACACTACTAAGTGCGATTTTAAAGAAAACAGGGAGTGAATGTGAAATCCGGAATTTTTACCGAATTTTCCGATTAATATCCCGCATTTTTCTAAACCCCCAATTAAATTTTCCTTTAAATTCTAAACTAAAACCTAACTTAAAAAAAAGAAGAAAATTCCAGTCTNACTCCGACTACGATATCAAGTTAGCAGACCGATCCTTATCAGACGTCACCTATGATCTCAATCACCTGTTACAAATGACAACTAAATCAACACCTCCATCCTACCTCTCAACGGTAATGACGGTAATTACAAGTTGCCTTGGTACTGTTGTTATGGGATGCTGCCTTTATTATATCATTCGACGTTACATTCAGCAGAAAAACCGTCGTTTACCACCTCAACCGCACCCCATAGAAACCGACCCAGAAAACATCTCCCTCAGCGAAAGAAAGTCAACAGCAACTGGACACCCAACCAAGCACTTCCCGAGAAATTACATCCCCAGGTGACCCTACCCAATTAGCACACAAACTTATTGTTCAAAGCTATTAAGGCCTCGCTTAACACTCGACAACCACCATTTTATTTTATTTTTCTAAATTTTTCCCGTTGTTCGGCGTTCCGAATTTATATTTCCCCAATGAACGGAACCTTTTCCATATATTTAAAAAATTTTCCTAAATTTATATATGTATATATTCTAAATTTAGAATTTTAACATCCGAGAGAAAGAAAATATAACCGTATATGTAACCTCCATATACCTCTAAATGACAACAGTAACTATTTTAACATTATTATTAACTTTTATTAATGTTTTAATAGAAGAATAGTGCTACTTTCACCTCTTAAGGCGAAGACGTCCAACACACGGGACTCCTCAACTATTCTAATCACAGAAAGTTCTAACCTGATCGCCACAACAAAATCTCATCCACTTACCTACGAATCTTCCAATCATTAAATACTTTCCGGTAGCATTTTGAAAGGTTATATATCATCGATAAAACAACATCGTGCACACACTAGAATCCAACCGACGAAACCAAGAACTCCAAGACAAAGGACAATCTCGACCCTACCGAACTTTGACCCGTACCCTCGTATTCAGGTCAACGAGAACTTCAACTGACCAATCAATCATTCCAGTTAGAAGACTCCAGTCCTCCCACCTCGAACAATAATATTGTCGCGAGTGACACGTGCCGAAATTTATTTGTATAACCAAAGTGTTACATTTCACATCGGATTCTTTTATCACTTTTATTTTGACGCGGCATTTTAATGTAACCGAAAAAACTTTTTTTTTCTAGTGCCAAGAGAGAGAGAAAAAAAAAGAGAGCAAAGGGTCGTATGGACCATTCTCTATGTAAACATACCTCTACCCAGACAGGACAATAAAAAAAAAAAATTTAAATCACACTACTAAGTGCGATTTTAAAGAAAACAGGGAGTGAATGTGAAATACTGTAGAAGTAAAGTTGTTCTTTCCGGCATCTTCTACCGTCGACTGTGTAATACGTCCGTAAATTTTCAGATATATTTTTCCAAGCACCTTTCGGATTTTCATACGCATAGGGATTTACAGTCACTACTTCTCTCAACAGAAGTATATCGTGATAACAAGAAAAACGCATTTGAACTTTCCTAATGTTTCTCGAAAGAAACACGACACTAATTATAGTAAAAAAAATTATTATTTAGTGTTATTAAACATCATATAAATACTTTTAAACAGTTTAATTTGTTTATTTATCTTTCCTGGTAATCCTCAGTGCAAAATGCTTCCGCCATTTTTTTCAACTTATTTTCCGTGAGTTAATGCGCGATGTTTACTGAGTCACTTGATGTTATGAACGGGTGGCTCAACGATATTTACTTGGACTTGAAACGTGTAACGTGTACTTCTGCTACCGGTACACGTTTAACGTTTGAACTTGTGCCTCAACCTCTCTATTAAAATTATGAGATTATAGCCGATTTTACCTGTTTACACCGGNGTGCAAAATGCTTCCGCCATTTTTTTCAACTTATTTTCCGTGAGTCAATGCGCGATGTTCACTGAGTCACGTGATGTTATGAACGGCTGCCTCAACGATTTTTACTTGAAACGTGTAACGTGTACTTCTGCTACCGGTACACGTTTAACGTTTGAACTTGTGCCTCAACCTCTCTATTAAGATTATGAGTTTATAGCCGATTTTACCTGTTTACACCGGATGGAAGAATTAGCCTCCACCCCTGTTCCGAGAGTGACTAGCCAATTTTTAGATGGATCTAAAAATATGTTCGATTTCCCGCAAAAACGCAAAAAAATGCATCTAAAATAGTACAGTAGAAGTTGAGTTCTTTAGGGTATCCTTAATTAAGCACCTTTTGTCGAAAATTTCTGAAATTTGTGAATTAAGACATTCTGGAAACGTTATCTGGAGTGCAAAGGGCGACAATTATTACAATTTTCTCTTTAGATTTTCAAAGATACAAATAACATTACTTTAGAATAAATGAATGATTCGACATTTCTATAATTTTATTAAAGTATTAGAAAAAAAGCATCAGTTTAACTTAAAAAAACTGGAAATAAACTTCCTGTTTTTAATGAATATTATATTATTTTATTTTAAATGATCTTTTCTGAAATATTTCAAACCGTTTACTGTTTTTACGTAACACGTGACAAAAAATAAGACGGGTCACGCTTTTCTAAACTATATATTCTAACAACACGTAACGAACTGTTAGAATGTATTATTGGCTTTTTCTATTGTAGGTGGTTATTGTTAAGCGTAAATTTGTTCGAAAGTTCCGCGTTTCTTTGAGATTTCGCAAACAAATTGCGATTAAGTAAACTCCAGTAATGTAGGAAGGCAGAAAGGGCTTTTTGTGTCGCCTTTTTCTTAGGCTCGCTGGAGTAATCTCTCATCGGCCTTTTTATTCGAGTTACTTTTTACTCAAACTAACTCCCTGTGTCCCGCATCTTTAAGGCCCACTCGGACGCAGACAGGAAATTTGACCAAAGGAGGAGAGGCTTTCTGTATCCCGTTTCTGTAAGGTTTGCTCGGACGAAGACAGGAGACGTCAGCAAGGGGCTCAGATGATCCTCTGTTTCCCGCATTATTCAGGTTCGCTTGGACGAAGACAGGAGAGTATATATATATATACAGTATATATATATTTTATTAATGAAGTTCGGCATGAGATTGAACTAAACTATGTGGCCCTAACGTGCATTTTATTACGACCAGGTGTATTTATAGATTTCCGTTTTTCTTTATTACTAGTTTTTGTAATATTACATCCCTTAGTTTAGATAGTAATAATACGGTGAGTTTCGAATAGATGAATTTGGAGTACTAAGAGTAATTATAAATATTAGTTATAAATATAAATATTTTCATCGAGCGAGTTAGGAGGAACTCGACTGGACAAGTGATGTTGGTCACTTGTGGAGTAGGATTCTCTTCAACTCTTGGTGGAACTATGAAGCAGCCACCTCCACGTGGTGAGTTCTGGGTTGTCATTCGTCTGGAAATGACCAATGGCAGGCGAAGAGCTGCTCGTTCCATTTTTATCCATTCGGCTGCTGCTGCCGTTTGACGTTGAAAACCCAAAGTGTATTGGTGTTTCGTTGATAAAGTCGAGTACAAAATCAAATTTAAATTTATTATAAACTGCTGATAAGTAATTTTCGATTATCTCTCCTGTGAATTATTAATTCTAAAACTCAAATAGTTTGTTAAATACATTCTAATATATTAACTCTGAATTTTTTGACAGGGTCGATGAAAGTTTGCGGGGATAGCTAAAACTTATCAAGTAATTAAAATTTTTCGCATTTTTCATGCTTTTAAATGAATGTCTTTTAATAATTATATAAGAGGTTATATTAATACATAATATAATATTGTATAATATATATAGTACTGTACATAACATTGAATGGGACGACAGAAAAAATACTTTTTTAAAAAGGGACAATACACGAAAAAGATTAGGAACCCTTGTATTAATTAGTTTAACTTTTCACTTTTATTGGTTTGTAGGCAACTTGAACCAATCTTCCAACTTACTTTGTCGACTTCTTGTGTATATAAGTGTAAGGTGGGGTGAAAGTGTGATAGGAAAGATGGTAGCGATGGGAGAGACCGTCAGCACGAGCGACACAGTTAATTTGAATAGAAAACAAAAGGTACGTAAGCTCACTTTTAAAAGAAATCAGTTAATTTCGCGTCAGTGATGGTCTTGAGCAGGGGTTCCCTAAGTGTGCGCTGCGGCGACGTAAAGAGTAAACAGCGATGTCGCGAAGGCTTCAAAGCTAATTGAACTTTCTATCCAGACTGCATCGTTCCCGTAGCTTGTAGAACTTTCTAGAAGACTTAAGACACACGAGTCATCGACACCATGTTATGGTGACTGTCATCAGGTGGCCTATGGGTTTACATTAAGAAATGACGATTTCTTCAGTATAATAATGCATTTTATTGGTTTTTTTATTCAAGAATATGACGGATGGATGAATCTTACAGGCTCGATAAGTTTTAAATCTCTAGCATTAGTATTTTTAATTAAAATATTAATTTTGTTTATTTTTTAGAAAAACTTCTAGATCGAAATTCCAAACGTTATTTTAAAGCAAACGTAAGAAATCAGTCAGTAGTTAATGAAATAGTCAAAACTACTACTATATTTACAAATTTAACAGGATTTACTGTTGGAATATACAACGTACGCTGTAAAGCTGGATGTTGGCCTGCTCTTCTCTCTCCCGGGAAAGCTTTTGAGGGTTATATTATTAATAGTCTTTTTGTATTTTTATTTAACGCCCCGTCTTTGTACTGTAAAAACTATCCATTATTTTCTTTAAATAAAATAAAGCTACAGTAGTTTGTTCTTACACTAGCTGGAGTAAAGATGTGTCTTTTCTTTATGTATTATTTTGTTATTCACTACGTAAAACTTTTAAAATTAAGGCTATTATATTGAAGTACTTTAATGTAATAATCAACCAAATAAAAATGATCATATTTGTGTCTATATCGCATTATTGTATGATAAAACGTAATTTAATAACACTACTCTACAAATTGGAAAAAAATTTTAGGAACAGAAACAGCAATAAGTAAATTTTACTTTATTTTATTTTATTTCTTTTGTTCGCTGAATCTGAAAATGAAGCCAGTTTTTCTCCATCACCCACCACATTTTTGTTATATACCATTAAAAAATTGTTGAAAAATGTGAATTTCCCACAGTGACTAAGTTTATTGGTATATTAAATTTCATGCAATGCTAAATAAATTTCCAGTACCCGTATTTTATTTTGCTGATTACATGAAAAACTTTTGTATAACATAACTAAAATAGGCATAAAAAGTACCTGAAAATTTTTTATAATTGGAGTCGGATAATCACTTCTTCCTTCGGTGTAGAATAGGATCTTCTCTTTACAGAAACCAGCAGTAGTCACTCATTAACGATTGGTCCAATTGATAATGCTTGGTAACGCTGCTCAATTTGCAATGTGTCTTGGTGAAACCGTTCACTCTGTTCATCACTCACTGCACCCAAATTTGGTGGGGTTATTCACTACGTAAAACTTTTAAAATTAAGGCTATTATATTGAAGTACTTTAATGTAATAATCAACCAAATAAAAATGATCATATTTGTGTCTATATCGCATTATTGTATGATAAAACGTAATTTAATAACACTACTCTACAAATTGGAAAAAAATTTTAGGAACAGAAACAGCAATAAGTAAATTTTACTTTATTTTATTTTATTTCTTTTGTTCGCTGAATCTGAAAATGAAGCCAGTTTTTCTCCATCACCCACCACATTTTTGTTATATACCATTAAAAAATTGTTGTAAAATGTGAATTTCCCACAGTGACTAAGTTTATTGGTATATTAAATTTAATGCAATGCTAAATAAATTTCCAATACCCGTATTTTATTTTGCTGATTACATGAAAAAGTTTTGTATAACATAACTAAAACAGGCATAAAAAGTACCCGAAAATTTTTTATAATTGGAGTCGGATAATCACTTCTTCCATCGGTGTAGAATAGGATCTTCTCTTTGCAGAAACCAGCAGTAGTCACTCATTAACGATTGGTCCAATTGATAATGCTTGGTAACGTTGCTCAATTTGCAATGTGTCTTGGTGAAACCGTTCACTCTGTTCATCACTCACTGCACCCAAATTTGGTGGGATAAAGTCCAGATGAGAACGCAAGAAATGAATTCTTAAGGACATCCGGCAGCCTAAATTTTTATAGTTCAGCATGAGATTTTTTACTAAAATATCACTATTTTGTGCTTTGTGCTTTGTTATTTCCAAGGACTACATGGAAATAACAAAGCACAAAGCACCATGCTTTGTGCTTTGCATATAAAACCATGGACTACATGCTTAAATGATTTCCATGCCTTTAGCTCTACATTATTCAACTTCATATCAAAATTTTCACCATTAAGTAATTTTCTAATCTGAGGTCCAACGGATATCCCTTACTTTAATTTAGTTTGACTTAACCTAGGAAACACTTGGCTTACATGTTTCAATCCTGGTCCTTCTTTATTCAGTGCTTTAACAAAATTTTTTTATCAACCCCAATTTTATATGTAAAGGGGGCAAAATTACTTGCTGAGGGTTGACTAATGGAACATACATAATATTGTTTTGCCCAGGAGTGAAAGTATCATTTTTTGGCCAATCTTTAACCACATACTGTTCACTTGTTGCACGACTGTCTCATAGACATAAAAAGCAGCAGTATTTTGTAAAACCACCTTGTAGTCCGAAAAGAAGACTAATAACTCTTAGGTCGCCACAAATACGCCATAAGTGAGCACTATAATTGACTGCTTTTAAAATCAATGACATATTTTCATATGTTTTTTTCAAACCAACAGCATGCGCTACTGGTATAGAAGGATTCTTGTTTGAATTATGCAATAGCACTACTTTTAAGCACGTTTTTGACGAGTCTATAAATAACCGCCAATCGTCAGCTTTATAAGGAATATTCAACTCAGACATCAAACCATTTATATCACAACAGAACACAACTGATTTGCCAGCCCCCACCAGTGGGCGAGTGGTCTCCGTTGCCACTCATCGTAGTGGTGACCAGACCCTAAAGACTGGGAGGTTCGTCGTGGGTTCGCGCCACGGTCGGACAGGCTGGCTGCTTGGAGTTTTCCGGGTTTTCTCCTTGCCTATAACGACTGAATAGGAGGCCAGTTCCCCATAAAAGTCCTCCCGGAAGGCATTTATTTCCCACGCGTACGTATGGCTGTTCGATACAGCCGGCTAATCGGTCGCCTAGCGATCATACACATACACAATTCTACTCGGAGAAAGAGCCTACATTGAGCTAAAATCTCCATATAAACACCATCGAAGAAGAAGAAAGAAAGAACTGATCTGCCATAGTGAAACATTTCATTAAATCCTTATTTCTGTGTCTGAAAAATGGAACCTTGGTATCCTTATGCAATAAATTCCACTGATTTAAGTGTGAACCTAACACTTCTGCTTTCTTTTTGATAAATGCAAGTCGCGAACCAAATCGTTTAGTTCCACTTGTGAAATGAGATGTGGTTCGCTACTTAATTTTTCTGGTATAAAATCTTCGTCTCTTGAACCTTGTGCCGCCGCATCAGACCAATCCTCTTCAGCATTAGAAATCTCCTGCCAAGAAGCTGGGTCTGTGGGAATAGGTAAATTCTCTCCATGAGAAACTGGTCTCATAGCCGATGGAATTTTTGGATACACAATATTATTACTTATATTTTTCGAAGAGAAACCTCTGACCTTTGTTAAACAGAAGTAGCAGTCGTCATAATGATTTGATTGTTCTCGCCAAATCATTTGTATAGTAAAAGGCAAATGCTCTTTTTCTCCTGGTAACCACTGCGTGAGCTTGACGTAACACTTAATACACGTTAAGTACGGCGTCCATTGTTTGTCTTGATCTCCGAGTGGACATCCGAAATAAAGTCCATAGGGAGTTTCCATCAATTTTGAAATGGGCCTACGCTGATCTTTGTTACGAATTCTCCACATACATAACAAAACACATTCGGAGGATTTGTACACGAACCTGTTTGCAGCCGCATAATTCAATAAATGTCGAGGTAAAATTTAAATAAGAAAAAAAATTTCCAAGTTTATTTAACTGCAATTGAACATTAATTACTACACACAACTTCTCTCAACAATGTCTTGAGCTGCACTGAGATAAGGCGTTTTCAAAGACCAATAACGCGTCATCTTTGTTTATTGTCGATGATTCATTGGTTAAAGCGTGGATGCCGGAATAAATAGGTTATAAACTGGACCAATCAGGGAGCTGTTCTTTCGTCAGCAATCTTACTCATATCCGGATGTACGTTTTCTCCGAAACTACTGAATTGTAAAAATGTTGACTTTTGAAATTGAAATTTTAAATTTAAAAATTTTTTTGACAAAATCTTTATTTAAATAAAAAATTTATTTACGACTGAAAAATTAAATAAAAAACACGCTAAAATGTGCACCGCCACAAGAGGAACAAGTCAAAGTTTGACATTTTTACATGGGCACAGTTTTACAGTTTCAACATCTGACTGCCCTTAAAGTAAAATAAACTAAATAACGTGACGTGATAGAGCATTTCTGATCACACTTTCCGTTTTAGCATGAAAAATACATTATAAAAAAATCACTGACGTATCTGTTCCGAAAATGATGTAGATTAGTAATGCTCTAACACGTAAGAGTAGAAGGTGGAATTATGAATAAAATAAAATATAAGGCGACTTAAAAGTTGATATTTTCTCACTCTAAAAATGCTTCTGGAAATCTTTTCTGGCTACGAACTTTACAATTGCAAACTTATGTCACATCAATAAAGAAGAAATCATAATACAGTGAAACTTCCATTAACGAACACCTTTATTTAACGGGCAATTTTACAATTCCCACGCCCTTCGAATAGGACATCTATTGTATTTCCGTCTGTAAATAACAAAAGCCTTACGAAAACGTAAAGCTCCGTGTTCGATATTCCGAAAGAATTAATTATGTACGAAATACTTTAAAACTAAAGAAATTGGTTCAAATACTTTTTCGGGGTATGAACTTCGACCGTAGGCGTCGAATAAAGACGCCGAAAATAGGAATGGAAAGGAGGACAAGTTGTGAAAAGTTATTATTAGAATTAAGTTTGTCCTACCGATGAACAAACTTTTCAAAAAATATTCATTACACAAGAACCGGAGTACAGTAGTAACGAAAAAGAAACTAAAACGGTTACGCAACAGCGTTCGTTTGGTGACAGTTCAAAGATCGTGTCACGAAGAGATTTGCCAGACACATTAAAGTGTGAGATTTTCGGTATTCTGACAATTATGACGTCGTTTATGATCACA